GTATATGGGGCTGGTGCCCTACTCACTGAGCCATAGGCACAGCCCTATTTGTCACTCTACAAATCTTGCAGACAAAGGGGAGCTCTGACTCAGAGGAAATGTGTCACCCTATGTTGGACTGCAGGGATCCCAGAGCACTGATTGTGCAATGATTTGGATCAGGTTTAAATAACACTATATAACCTCAGGTAAGTCCTTTGCTTCTCTAAGCCTCACTGTAATTATTAAACGGGGTTAGGAATATAGCACCTGCATTAGTGAGTCATTTGAAGACTAGAGGAGACTACTGTGCCAGTGAGTGCTTGGGAGATGTGAGTCACCTAGAGGAGCCACTGACCAATGCCATGCTTCTCCATGAGGGCAATGAGGTCAGCCTCGGTGAGCAGCTGGGGTGGGCTGGTCTCCCCATCCACCATCTCCACGGTGCTGGGCTGAAAGCGGGAGCCTTGTTCATAGACAGGAAGGATCTAAGGGAGCAGCAAGCATGCAGTCAGACCACCTGTCATCACACTCAGAGAAACCTCTATTTCAAATACAGTATCTCTCTACTAGACAGCTGAGGGCTAGGACACGACCATCCTCCCTTCTCCCTGGGCCCCAGCTCTTTATCACCTTATCACTCCAGCGGTCATATGGATACACATCCAGGTAGTTTCGAGCCAGAATCATGAGGCCCTGGGCCACAAAGCGTTCCCGAGCAATGTCAATCTCCACGCTGGTCTCTTGTCCCTGAGCATCCTGCGAGCAGCAAGCCAGAAAATGGCGAACAATAAATTCATACAGTCGCTGTTCATCTCCCTAGGAAGAGAAGGAGAATTTGAAACTCCCTTAAGATTATTACCTTTTGTTTAAACCTGGTTCTGCCTAGAATAGGCTGTGCTGCTTCTCAGGCCCTGTGCTGACATGGGGGCCAGGAAAGTCCTAAGAAGTGAGTGGCTTCAGACCAGTGGTTCTCAACCTTCCTAATGCCATGGCCCTTTTATACAGTTTCTGTGGGTCGTGACCCCTAGGCTGAGAGCCGCACCTCACCCTCCAGTGGGCAGAGGGAGATAGGGGAGCCACCTTCCTTCCAGACCAGGAAGTGGTTCCTTCATGTAAACCTTAGAAGACAAACAGAGAAAAAATTGCTAGGCACTTAATTAGTTATAAAAAACTGACAGCACCTGGTAATACCCGCAACTACCCCTCTCAAATCAGTAATTCAACTGCACACAAGATGACCTACGCTGAGAAGCAGAGAACAAGATGAAAGCTTAAGTCAGCTTGAGACACTCAGGAACAATGTGCTTCACAGCCTGAGCCCAATTTCATATACACACTCAACTAGTGATTTTTTGGGGGTAACTTTTGATCAATTGGGTAAATCAAGGATTTAGTGAGTCTCACTCCATAAAAATCCCATGAGATATTTATATGCACATCTCATGATCAACCATCTAGGAAGTTAGTTGAATGAAATAAGTAAAGATCCACACAAATGTTTATGTACACAAATGTTAACCATTTTTTAATTTTGAGACAGAGTTTTATTTTGTTACCCTCAGTAGAATGCCGGGGCATCACAGATCACAGTAACCTCAACTCTTGGGCTCAAGTGATCCCCCTGGCTCAGTCTCCCAAGTAGCTGAGATTACAACATGCCTACCTGCAGGCTGGTCTTGAACTCCTGAGCTCAGGCAATCTACCCAGCTTGGCCTCCTGGAGTACTAGGATTATAGGTGTGAGCCACCATGCCTGGTTCCAGATGTTACCGATAGTAAGATACATGAGAATGTGTGAACAGCTTACTGTTCCAAAAACAGATTTGACAAAATATAGTACATCTATCCAATCATCCAATGTATTTTTTTTTTTAAGATAGAGTCTCACTTATGTTACCTTTGGTAGAATGCTGTAGCGTCACAGCTCATGGCAACCTTAAACTCTTGGGCTTAAGTGATTCTCTTACCTCAGTCTCCCAAGTAGCTGGGACTACAGGTGCCTGCCTGGCTATTTTTTTGTTGCAGTTGTCATTGTTGTTTTAGCTGGCCAGGGCTGGGTTCGAACCTGCCACCCTTGGTATCTGGGGCTGGCACCCTACTCAGTGAGCCACAGGCACTGCCCATCCAATGTATTTTTATATTATTATTAATTTTTTTTTTTTGAGACAGAATCTTACTCTGTCCCCTGAGTAGAATGCTGTGGCATAATAACTCACAGTAACCTCAAACTTTTTTTTTAAGAGATGGCATCTCACTTTGTCACCCTCGGTAGAATGCCGTAGTATCACAGCTCATAGCAACTTCCAGCTCTTGGGCTTAGGTGATTCTCTTGCCTCAGCCTCCTGAGTAGCTGGGACCATAGGCTACTGCCACAACGCCTGGCTACTTTTTCATTGCCGTTTGGCTTGGGCTGTGTTTGAATCCGCCACCCTCGGTATATGGGGCCAGTGCCTTATTCACTGAGCCACAGGCGCCTCCCCTCAAACTCTTGGGCTCAAGTGATCCCTTTACCTCAGCATGTCCAACTAATTTTTCTATTTTTAGAGACAGGGTCTCACTCTAGCTTAGGCTGGTCTCAAACTCCAAAGGCAATCCACTCTCCTTGACTTCTCAGAGTGCCAGGATTACAGATGTGAGCCACCACACCTGGCCTGGTGTTACAATTTCATTAAAAGATTATATACATGATTAGAAAAAACGTGGTTCTCACTAACTGGTGAAATTACAAGTAATCTTTTTTTTTTGCAGTTTTTGGCCAGGGCTGGGTTTGAACCCGCCACCGCCAGTATTTGGCACCCTACGCTTTGAGCCATAGATGCCACCTAATCTCTTCCTTCTTTATAGAATCTTTTGTATTTTATAAGTTGTATAAAATAAGTGGGTGAGGTGGCTCACATCTGTAATCCAAGCACTCTGGGAGGCTGAAGCAGAAGGATTGCCTGAGTTCATGAGTTTGAGGTCAGCCTAAGCCAAAGTGAGACACCATCCCTAAAAATAGCTGCGTGTTGTGGCAAGCGCCTATAGTCCCAGCTACTTGGGAGGCTGAGGCAGGAGAATTGCTTAAGCCCAAGAGTTTGAGGTTTCTATGAGCTTTGATGCCACAGCACTCTACGGAGGGCAACAAAGACTGTCTCCAAAAAAAAATTGTGTAAAATGAACATGTATTAATTTATAATTATTTATTTTTGAGACAGAGTCCCTCTCTGTTAGCCCTGGGTAGAGTGTAGCAGGTATCATCATATCTCACAGCAACCTCAAACTACTGGGCTCAAGGGATCCTCCCGCTTTAGCCTCCCAGAGTGACAGGATACATTAAATTTAAAATCAGAAGGAATGTGTTATTAAAGGAAGAAGTGGCTCATGCCTATAATCTCAGCACTTTGGCAGACTGAGGTGGGTGGATGGCCTAAGCTCAGGAGTTCAAGACTAGCCTTATCAAAAGCGAGACCCCATCTCTAAAAACTAGTTAGGTGTTGTGGTGGGCACTGGTAGTCCCAGCTACTTGGAAGGATGAGGCAAGAGAATCACCTGAGTCTAAGAGTTGGAGGTTGCTGTGAGCTATGACTCCATGGCAGTCTACCAAGGATGACAAAGCGAGACTCTGTCTCAAAATGAATAAATGAATAAATAAATAAAGGAAGAAAGACCAAACTTTACTCAGCTCTGTGATTGCTTATAGAAGGCAGCAAGCTTCACAGAGCCTGTCCCCACGGAGTCCATCATACAGAGCCAAGGGGAAACGCCACCATGGCTAGAGCACAAGAGAAGGTGGTGGCAGAGTCTCAGGAAGGCAACAGAACATGATCTCGTCTCAGGAGGACAGACAGAAGTCTCTAGTCACAAGGGACTATAAATGGCTGTGGGATGCGGGCTGAGCAGGGTTCAGGGGTGGCCTGGGCTATGTCAGGGTCGGGGAGAGGCACCGGGAGCCCAGTGTTGCTAGGGCTAGACCAAGGATGATGCCCATCAGGGGGTCTTCATGAAAGCCAGGCACAAGATTGTGAAATAGGAGAATTCTGACATTGACTTCTTTTTTCTGATATGAAGCAGGTACTTTAAGACCGCTTATTCTGGCTCAATGCCTGTGGCTCAAGAGGCTAAGGCGCCAGCCACATACACCTAAGGTGGCGGGTTC